CCGATAAGAATTCATGAGGTTACTTAACTATTCAATTAATCGATATTTAACATCCCTAAAAAATCTACTGGAGTTTGCAATATGCAAGGAATGCAGGTGCAGATTCCAAGAAAATAATAGTTCTGCAATCTCATATATAAAATAGTTTTAGAAACAGTTGCTGAAAAGAATCACACATGCTTAAAAAAAAAATTGGTGTTATCTCCAAGTCCTACATCAACATTTGGGAAGAAAGGGTGGGAGACTCAAATGTGGACAAACAAAAATTGTACCTCATCACAAACAGAATTCACCACTTAATGACATGCTTCAGAACCCCCTTTTAGATCTTGTTCAAGGCTGGCAGTGTTTTATGTTCACATAAAGAATCTTTTTTTTTTTTTAAACGCCAACAGTCTAGGCAGTACGAGCATGAACCAACATGTATTGCAATATTTAGGCAGCCATTATAATGTAAATGTGCAAGGTATTAAAAAGCTATTTAACACTGTATAAGGTGCACAGCTTCTGTGGTCTATACACAATGCCAAAAGAAAGATCAGACTCCATACATAATGATAAGCCTCTGAGTACTGGGGTACAAAGGTCCACAGAACCAGACCATGTCTGTGTAATCATTATGATTCCACAGGCATATTATCTTATGGATAATACTATATACTCTACCCTCACTTTAGATATGTGCTACTTCATGAGGCAGCCAAGGGACTTGTGCGAGAAAGCTAACATCAAACTATATCCAATTTGGCCTGAACATCACAATTCACATACAGCTTGTGTAAAAATAATATCCCTTTCAACAAGATGACTGCCACTGGCAGCCAAGTGCCAAATTTTAAATAAAAACTCTTTTCAAAATGTATTTACTTGGTTTTCATGTGATGAGATATAAGTCTTAACTTAGCACAATAATGTTAATAGCACAACTTTAAAATATAATAAAATATTTAGAAAACAAAGATGCAGTTTATCACCACCAGCACACACAGATTACATGCTATCCTTTGGCACACATGGGAAAGGAACTCAGAAGGAAAGATTAAAATTGTTCAATTTTTTTTCCTATTTCTTACACTTTAAAGGTCTATGATGTATCTAAATAATTAACAGTAAACCAATAAAATGCTAAAAGAACTAACGATATAAGCATACCAAAATCATTAAAAAAAGCTCTTTGAGCATCCACAGTGGGACCAATTTACAGTACTTGAGGGTATCCTAGCATGTATCACTTTACGAGATCGTGTACTGTAATATTTTCCTTACAGTATACCACAGATTCCTCTTATTATGTACTGATCTTTACAAGTGATGTAAATAACTATTTGATATGAACTCTGAGATTTTTAAAAAAAACTTACAAACACAGCACAATTTATTTATTTTTAAAAAGAACCATATGTTAATCTCTAGGCAATATATACGTACAACTCTTTGTAATCAGACATCGCTTTGTAAAGAAATACTATGCTGAACAGAGTTTGATTCCAGAATATCCCCTACTTAAAGAGAGGCTTAGTACTATGTTATCCAAATATCAGACCTCAGAAGTGTAGGCATAATGAGCATAAAAATTAAAACATTAGTACCACAAACATTACTTTATCATCAGTTGCTACAGGTTGTAATATACCAAACTGTACTTCAGACACAGAAAATATGCAGTATTGTCAGACAGTGCAACTGTAATGTAAACAAGTATTATGTTAGTCTTTACAAGCTTGCTGGGGAGACTTAAATCTTCCATACCATCGGTGCCTCTTACTCCCTTCCCCGCCCCCCAAAAAAAGCCTCCATAAAAAAATGTGTCGTCTTCCCCAAGGTGAAGCACAACTCAATAAGTAATCAAAATTAAATATATGAATATAGAAAAGAGAAAGGGGAAAAATACAATGATTTGTTGTATCAAAAAGCATCCACAAACCACCACCCCAGGAAACAAGTAAACATATCAAACTTCAAATAATTTCAGAAAACCTGAGTGCTGACCAGACATCAGGACTTGTTAATAATCCTTCCCAACAGTGGGTCAAACATCTGTGTAAGTACTGCTCAGACTAGAATGGGCTAGTGCAACATATCAACATTTACCTGACACCGCCCCCTCTTAACCAAGAATGGAGCAAGATGCTTTACGCTGCTCCCATACTACCAAGGTAATCTATACCAGATGCAGCAAGAGAGTGTCAAGCTTCTGAAAGACACCGAAAAAGCCAACACCTATTTAACTGAGGATAGGAAAAGAGAAACGGCCATCAGGATCTGATGGAGAAAGAGGGAAATACTCAGTGAACACTTGACTGTAATAGGCAAGGAGGGGCAGAGAAGAGGGAAGAAACAATCCTCAACACCCCTTGCCCACCAGGTGCAATTCGCATGGAGGATAATTCATTAATCCTCAGAAGATCAAAAAAAGCCAGAAACAAAGAATTTTCTGTATTTAATTATCATTCAAATTTCAATTATAAAGGCTGATATTTTTGCCACATCTGAAATTTCAAATATTCTCCCAGTGACAATTGTATTCCTTTATTGTAAAATGCAATCTTCCCAAAAGATAGTATCCTGGACCTTGAGCACATCTTTCCCACCAATCTTTAGGTATCTATTAGACAAGGCTGATACCAATATAAAATTTGATGCTTCTTTGTCTAGTTTCACATTCTTAACTCAGTTAAGGTATTATACAACCCTTGACAAGGTTTGCTTATATTATACACACGCCAGTGAACAATTCCTTCACGATGACAATACTGAAATAGGGACCATCACACATTGTTTCAGTAGAATCACTCATTTCTAGAAAGCCATAATCATGTAACAATAAATGCAAGGATTTCCTAATGGAAGCACACACAATGAAAATGTTAAAAGAAAACCAGTTATTGTAAATTAACAGGACATGCAGAAAGCTATAAACATTATTCATGGTCAGATAGAAGCCTTTCAATAATCTAATGTTCTTAAATTAGAGTACTTCCATTAGTGTGATTTAATTGTCAAGATAACAAAGGAACGCCCCTCCCCATACCGCTTGCCTTACAGATGTGTCATGCTGGCAAGATAAAACTATACCAGGATCAGCAGCTAGTCACAACCAGTACTATTTACTAACCCAACCTTTGCTGTTATGTGAGGTAGGGGATTCCGCTTTACATTTCTATAAAAAGTAGACTGGGGAGTGTTATGTTGCTCTGATTAGAACAAAACAGGGGGAAAGCATGCTCTTTTCAAAGGAAGAATCCAAGATACCCCATTAATGTTTCTGGTACACCTCAGATTACATGTAGGTGATTGCTGCCTAATCATTTTACTTGTTACATCTACAGAAATCACAGACCTCGACAAAACTGTACACATATAATGTCTAACATGAACTGAACAGATCCAGTTCAACCTACTAAATTTTTCATTTCACTTGCTCAGAGCTCAAAATTAACCAACAGAAAATTAAAATACTGAGGCTCAAATGGTAAGAATTGACAATATTAGTGTATTTTTAAAAATGTGAATGTATGTATGATACAGTACTAACAAACTTTCAAGATGCAGAAATCTTTTAAAGAAATCATCTGAGGGCTATATTGAGATCATTATGCAAGCTATGCCTAAAATATGGCTGTACATGTTGTTTTACTTCATATGACTACCACCTTCTTCAAGCCCTTAATCGATGCATCCAATAATACCTAAAGATACATGGATCTATAGCTACACGAAAAAAAATAATTTGCCTATTAGAAGCAATGTATATATTACACACACACACCCACAGTAATTTGTAAAAAAAAAATCATTGGCTAATATTTGTTCTGTAATTTTTGGTTCCAAAAGACTGAGACCATGAAACTAATTACAATTCATAGAATTAAAACTCAATCATTAATATTCTGCTGTGAAAGTGTCTTTGTGCACAGACGTGCATAATTACATAAAATACATGCTTCCAAAGGCCGTATCAATTAAAATATATTAACTGCAATTACATTTAGTATGATTTTAGTACTTTTTATATATGATGGCATTTTAAAAATTTCAATTTCTACTCATAAATCCCTGTACAGACCAAATACAATATTTCTCCATTAAACTTTAGTCATGCTGAACTGCTATGCAGTTCACATACAAACACAACCCTAGTCAAGTATAAGTAACAATCCAATACAAGCATTATAACTGCTACTCTCTAATGACTTAGAGATATATTTATGTAATTTATATAGACAAGGAACATACTTTTCACAATCACATGTGTATCAGAAGCTGTCGCTAAATGTTCTTCACAACATCTCTACAGTTTAAATACAAAAGGCACAGTAAATAAATTCAGTGAAACAGGAAAAGAATTTCATATGTATATGAAAAAGAATGTTAGGTAATCATTACTCTGTATATTGGTTGCTACTATACACATACATAAAGCATCTTTAATTTCTCTTCAGCCTGCTCACAGTATTTTGGTTTGAGGGAATGCAAAGTTGTAAAAACAGTGCTTCCTCTTTTTTTTTTTTTTTTTTTTTTTTTTAATATCACCATTTCACAACATGAAGAAGCAGATGTATCAAAGTAATATCCCAAGCTGCAGAGAGGCAGGACACCACTGATGAAGAAATTCACACAATATGCAATCATTTGAGTTCATCCCACCTGCTCATAAACCTAGAGGCTATCCAGCTGATCTGTACCTTCACGGGCAAACAAATGCCAGGCAAAGGTTTATTCACATTATTCCCTGGGGACCAGGCGCAACAGGCAGCATATTTTTAAATGATGACTGGTACGTTTGTCTCCTGTTTGAACCTGTCCACAAGGAGTCTCTGGAAAGGATTCCCTTTAATCAGGATAAAGCTGACAACATCCCTCGCTTTGTTTATAGCAGGGGTGGGGAGGGAACACGGAGAAGATATATTTTTAAAGCATGACAGCATGGCATATTATTGCAAAACCAACAGCCACCGTTCTCCATGCCCCCCACCCTTCTCCCCACGAGCCTGTTTTACCTGCTCCCACAGGGGCCTTTGTGTGGGGGGCTTCCTGCTTCTGCTCTCGACCATCGCGGCTGCGGTTCCTGCTTCTTCTGCCTGGCTGCCTCCTAGG